TCACATGGCCAGTGTGACTTAGACACGGACTGCTGTTACCTTCCCACCGAGGTGGTCCCTATTTATCTACTCGAATTTGCATGCTTTCGAACCACTAGGTTGGCGGGAGCTGGGACAAAGTGACGAGAGCTCACTCTGTCGCATGGATTCGATCTTACAACTGAAGATCTACAGACCTTATAGCACCGAGGCTTCTGGGGTCTAACCCGCAGCGCCACCACGTCCCCGTCTTATGACTTACAAATGTTTATATATGAATATGAATGGCTGCCTGTGTTGGTCCATCCATTCAGTGAACATCTAACAGAGGTCCTTATGGTGCTGTGTGTGTGTGTGTGTGTGTGTGTGTGTGTGTGTGTGTGTGTGTGTGTGTTCCCCAGGGTATGGAAGATTGATGAATCAAGGTAATGGCATCATGATTGTCCACCACAACTCCTGGAACTACTTATGTAGTTTAATATACCTGCTGACATTTCCTAACTGTCCTTGGAGACCTGATAGTGAGGACTGTGATGAGGAACATCCGCATGTCGAGATGTCGCAACGGTGCTCGTGTGGATGATGTGGAAAAAGGTGACTTCAAGATGTAACATTGTAGTGAGAGAATTTTTTTTTGGAGGACGCATGCCACCTTATGATATCGTTTTCTTCCAAGACAAACTGATGGGCAGGGCTAATGGTAGCAGCATTGCTCCAAAGGTTGTGTTGCCGCAAAAATATTAAGCAGGCTGCTCCTGTCGTTTGAAAGGTGTGAGTCCCTTGACAAAGACTTCCGGATTTCACTGCTTCCTTTGGTCCTCGCCTTTGAACTGAACACGATCCTTTTAAGAAACGTTGTTCAGCCTGACTTGGGACAATCAACCCCAGAGTGGACTAACTTTGAGCAACCGTCGTAAGGCGTTGTTTGGCTTGAAATTTAAAATCCATGACTAAGAAATGAACAGGTCGTTTTAATCTATTGTGCTACGAGATTTAATTGCCATTCTACCGCGTTGGTTTCGTGGCAGGGTTTCAAGCAGAGCGACCTCTTCTGAGCCTTTGGGAACCAATGGGTTAGAAATCGAAACAGAAATAGATGCAACCAAAGAGCGATGGCTCTTAAAGGGGGAAGAGTGGGTGAAGGGCGGGGTGACATTTAAGAACCCAGGGCAGCTTCTATTGGCCGCATGCTGCTTAGCACACCTTTGCAAATAAGTGAAATTTTATCTGCAAGGAGATGCATGCACAGCAGTTTATCCGGTATCTAGAAGCTGCTTCCTGGTGCTCATGTAGCCGGTCAAAAATGGATAACCTGAAATGCAAGAGGCAGGAAAGGTGGCGGTTTCACACATTGCCATTTTCATATACGGAGTTAATCTCTTCTCAGGACAAATCCTGGGGCGGGTGTGTGTGTGTGTGTGCCCTTTTCCATGCAACTTTGAATGTGAAATGAAATTGTATCCAATGTCACAAGGAGGGGTGCTGGAAGATTTTTGTTCAGTCCACATTTTTAAGCGAACCGAGCTGATCTCTGCTTTCCAGATCATTACTTTTCCATTTTTCCTTGTCTCTCAATGTTGTGACATGCATCTTGATATAAATAACAATCAGTCAAAATGCATATGAAGTGTATTTTAGAGCAGAATGCAGTCAGATGTGAATTGGGTGTGAATTTACAAGTAATGACTTTTTTTAAAAAAAGAGAAGAAGAGGAGGAAGCACAGCTTGATATGGAAATGGGTTGGAAGAGGTTTATTGAATGAAACTGGCTGGTACTTCCTCCCCTCATTCCCATTGGGCATGTGTCCAAGGATTAGAAATGTCCCTTCTGTGGGGGAGGCGTCCTGGCTTGCATATATTAGGAGTTGTAGTCCAAAAAAGAACTTCTAAGGGATATAGAGTCATAGAAATCATAGAAAAGTGAAGTTGGAAGGGGCCTACAAGGCCATCAAATCCAACCCCCTGCTCAACGCAGGAATACATATGTGTGTGCAGGTTGTAATGTGTAAATCCCCCAAAATTTGTCCTGTTGGGTATCTATTGTACAGCATTCGTCCAACGTATTGTATTTGTATTCAACTCTTCTTCAAGGAAGCTCAAGAGTGTCCTGATCCCCTTTGATCCTCACCATCAAGTCAGCTAGGCTGCAAGAGAGTTCTTTGCCCTGGGGCCCACCCGAGGAGCTTTATGGCTAAGCCAGTAGGGTTGCCCACTGGAAAGCCAGAGAACATTTCAGCTGTCTTGAAATATCCCAGTGCAACAGAGGATAAAAGCTGCATTTTCTCTTCCCTCTTCCATCCCGGCTCCCATCTTCCAGCTCCTCTTCAAAGTCTACTTTAGGTAACAGGGCATCCTAGTACACTGTGCCACAAATCATGGAGGGCAGAATTGTCTGGGAGAGAGAAGAAAAAGGCAGGTGTCTGTATTTGAAATGGACAACCATACTGAGCTGAACAACAGCTGAATGTTGGTAAACCGCAGTTTATGACTCAACGTCTGGTGAAGTGTAGTCAGGGTTATAGCAGGACTGCAGATGACATGAAGATTGACCCTCTCCCTGTGTACAATTGTTCAGTGGAAGAGCATAGAGGAAGGGGGAGATTTCTGTCCTTTTTCTATATCCCAGCTATGGCTTGTGGGACGAAGAGGTCCGTGGAAAGGGCGGTAAGCTCCTTACAGGCATAGGCATCTCTGCAGATGCTTCTAACCCCAGGGCACTGCTAATGAAAGGTCCCTGAAAAAGAGCTGAAGCCCAGCTGTTCTGGAAATAGGCCCTCAAACCCTGAACTTCCTCTCCTCTATGGTTAGAATTAGGAGTAGAGATGGGGGTATTCGTATATGAATACGAATATCCCCATGCAGCTAGACCTAATGAGGATCTGCCCCCTGGGGCCGGACCCTCCACTCATGCAGAGCTCCACTCTCTTCCTGCTCGACTGGCCAGCCATGCAGGGAGACTTGTCCTCCCTCTTCCTGCCTGTAGTGGCTAGCTGAGTGGGAAGAGAGGGATGCTCTGGGAATGATTGAAAGGATGAGTAAGGCTGCCGCCGGCGGACATGTGAGTGGATGGTCCAGCCCCAGGGGCTGGACCCTCGCTAAGTCCAGCTGCACGGGGATATTTGCGCTAAGGGGTAAACCGCAGAAGCCTCTGTGCTGCAAGGTCAAAAGACCAGCAGTCGTAAGATCGAATCCACATGACGGAGTGAGCTCCCGTCACTAGTCCCATCTCCCGCCAACCTACCAGTTCAAAAGCTTGTAAAAATGTGAGTAGATAAATAGGTACTACCACAGTGGGAAGGTAACGGCGTTCGGCATCTAATTGCACTGGCCACGTGACCACGGAAACTGTCTATGGACAAACACTGGCTCTACAGCTTGGAGATGGGGATGAGCACCGTACCTTAGAGTCGGACATGACTGGACTAAATGTCAAGGGGAATCTTTACCTAATCTCTAATTAGGAGTGTGCAAATTTGTGTATATTTGGACTTTGTTTGTTTGTTCAGTCGTTTAGTCGTGTCCGACTCTTTGCTGCCTTGTCGTGGCGAGGGGGCTTGAGTAACTCAGAGAAGCTATGGGCTATGTCGTGCAGGGCCACCCAAGATGGACAGGTCATAGTGGAGAGTTCTGACTAAACGCAATCCACCTGGGGTAGGAACCGGCAATTCCACTCCAGTATCTTTGCCAAGAATGCCCCATGATCAGAAACAATATTTGGACTGCACCTCCAAAACACACAAGAATTCCCCAGGCAGATTGAAGGGGCCTACTCTGATTGCAACCTACTACTGTTTCAGTTTTTGTCATATCTATTAGCCACACTCGTTAATAAACTTTTTGAGTGATTAAGCCCATTCCCCTGGGTTCTGGAGGAGAGTTGTTTGAAGTGCTGTTTGATTTTTTAGAAATATATCATACATATATTTGTACCTACGTTTTGGTGTGGATGTATGGGAGAGCTCCTGAAGTGACATGACATGACAACTTCATCATGGTGTGATAATAATGATAAAACAAAACAAAAGGAACTAGTACATCCACGTCCAGATTATAAATGAGAAACAATGTCTCAGGATGTAGAAAATAGAATCAAGTTCTTTATTCTGTATTTTAAAAATGGGTAGTTAAAAAGTTCTGGCTCAACGCGTTTCGGGGAGAGCTCCTGAAGTGACATGACATGACAACTTCATCATGGTGTGATAATAATGATAAAACAAAACAAAAGGAACTAGTACATCCACGTCCAGATTATAAATGAGAAACAATGTCTCAGGATGTAGAAAATAGAATCAAGTTCTTTATTCTGTATTTTAAAAATGGGTAGTTAAAAAGCTCTGGCTCAACGCGTTTCAGCGGAGCCTTTCTTGGGAGCTAAGCATAACACAAAGCCACACATTAGATATTGAATCAGTCACATTTCTTTTGAAGGAAAGAAGGAAGACCCATCCAAAGGTTTTGACAGTAGTCCAGGTTAGCAACCACCAGGGCATAAACAAGGAGCTCCATAATCTCAAGAATCAGGAAGAGATAGATCAATGATTCCCAACCCTGGGTCCCCAGATGTTCTTGGACTAAAACCCCGAGAAGCCTTCACCACGAGCTGTACTGGCTAGGATTCCTGGGAATTGTAGTCCAAGGAGCCAAGGTTAGAAACCAGTGCCGTAGATCAGCGGTCTCCTACCTTGGGCCTCCAGATGTTCTTGGACTTCAACTCCCAGAAATCCTGGCTAGCAGAGGTGGTGGTGAAGGCTTCTGGGAGTTGTAGTCCAAGAACATCTGGAGGCCCAAGGTTGGGGACCACTGCCGTAAATGATAGCAAGAAGGAAATTACATACCTTGACATTCCTGTTCACAAATGAAAGACGAGACAGCCAATCGTTGACTGAAACATCAAGATCTGTGGCCTCCGTGTAACACAGAGAACTTGTCCACATGGAGGCCCCCATGTTCTACAGCTGGAAATCCGCCTCTGGACTCTTGTGGACAAGATCCTATTTAATCTTTTCTTGTTTTTTATACAGCAGAACCCTACACAGCTGCTCAACCCTGTTCGGGACTAACATCGAGAATGGAGGTAGGATACGGTTGAGCAAACACGTGGTTTATTTTGCTCATCAAATGTGCATTATTGTTTATATCAACAATTTACATATCCTGAGTGTCTCATCTCCGTGACCTGTTGTGAACTGATTTCTTCAGGGTCGGACCTAACCCCGCCTCCTATCCCCCCCCCATCACGCTCATTGCAGACATGTTCTTAGTTACTGGGTTGTCAAAGCAACAGTGTGGTCTGTTTTAGCAAATTTACGTGGAGAAAAGTCAGTTCTGGCAGCACGGTGTACAGTTCGTGGATGCCACCCCCCCCCTTATTCCTGATGGATGTTCCAGTGTTTTCAGCTGTCGAACAAAGTGGGTATGTTTCAACCAGGGTCTGAAAAGCAATTTGCCACAGTTCAGAAAACAGATTGAGGCTTTCCGTCCATTAAAAAAAAAAGGATGATTCTTGATGATTATACCCCCTCCCCCTCCCAAACTCAGTAATCTTTTGGAAGCAGGAGGTTGTGAAGCTTCCTTGAATAATTTGCAAAATGCTGCAAGAGGAGAAAGAATTCAGGGCCAGAAGGTTAAACGCATCTTTGATTTACGGATAATCTCTCGTCCAAATGATAATTTTGGGGCAGATGCTGCACTACCTCGGGATCTCATGAAGCGAGTATTCTCTAATGATGAGAAAGAGGATTTCTGGGAGAAGAGCTGTTAGCTGAGTGGAAGAAAAGATACCTCTTAAGGTCCCGGGTTGGATTCTTGGTGTATGCCATTCAAAGAACTTTAGGCTGTGGAGTGAAGAAAGGTCTAAGAGTTTACAGAGCAGCTGTCAGTCGGAGTAAAGGAGGGATAAATGGAAGATAGATTGGGTCAGAGCAAGACAGAAACAACTTACAAATAACACGTTATTTGCAATTAATTCACTTCCCAAACAACTATGGATCAATGCGAGTGTAATTTAGAATAATATTCCTGGGCTTTTTGTGGTAACCAATAAAGTTACATTTGTTTTGCAGTAACTAACTACTAAAATAATGACTGCATTTGCAATAACTAAAAGTAACTTGGAGTTACTTTTTAGTTACTGTTTAGTGTGGTGTTCCTAAATGGTGGAAGAGGATTATCAACCATTGGCTTCTGCTGGACGTTGTGTTCTGATATGAGCGTTGAGGTGATAAGAAGGTAGATGGGAGTGACGTGTATTTTCTCTCTCAGGTTTGTAGAATTCAGATTTTTCTTAAGACGCATCAGTTTGAAAAAATGGGAAAGTACAGTATCGTTTTTGAAACGCTGTAATTATAATCGTTAGTAACTGCTTTGGCTTGGCTTGGGAAGTATCATGATAAATAATTTCTAAGAATAACTCTCCAGTGTCTGATTTGGATCAGTTGTGAGATTTGAACTTCGTCACAATGGCAAAGAAAGATGTTCCTGCCCCCTAACCATTTACCTTTCAGCTAGACAGTTGGGGGATCATGACGTATGTGGGACGGGGACTCCCATCACGAGCAAGCAATGGATATGCTGAGGGTTCTCTTTAAAATTGATCGGAGTGCAACTCTCCATGTAGGTCTGTGGCGGGAAGATTTTTTTTAAAAAAAATCCACGCTTTTGATGAAATAGTTAGCGTGACCCATCAAGATTTCACTGAGGGGAAAAAAAGAAGGAAATGGGGAGGGGGGGAGCCCTTACCTCGAGAATTTGAAGGTGGTTTTGTTTTATTTTTAATCTCGGGGGAGAAAATCTGCAGAGTGCAGAAGCTGAGGTCAGCTGAATAAAAGATTCTGTTCAATTTACCATGATAAAGTGTGGTTTCATGCATGAAATGGAAGGGTCGGGCTTAGCAGTTTGAAGATGCATCTTTGGCTGCATTGTGTGCAGGGGAGAAGAATTTAAGAGCAGGAAACATTTCGAGCATACTGGTTAGCTCAGAGAGGGGCAACGAGTGGCTTGGGAAGGAGATGTCCCGGCCCTCAAGACATTTTACCTGGTTTCTGGAAGCCCTATGCGTATCTTAAAATAAAGATGTAGGATATGGGTCAGCATTTTAGATGTGGACAGGGGAGACCTAGATTCAGATCTCCACTGTGCCTTAAAGCATGGTGAGTCATTCCAGGCCAACTGTTATTTTTATGTCGAATCTATATCAAATAGTTTCTGTGATAATCAAATAAAAGGGGAACCCTTTTTGTCTTGAAATCCTAGAAAAAGCCATATGCTCCATAAGCAGGTTCATGTTCTATGGGCATTTTTATTCTACAGTGATGCCTCGCAAGACGAATGCCTCACACAACAAAAAACTCGCAAGACGAAAGTGTTTTACCATTTTTTTTGGTGACTGGCAAGACGAATTTTTCTATGGCTGTGCTTCACAAGAAGATTCCCCCCCTTTTTGGTTTGTTTTAAATCGCACAACTTTTAGTACCGCGCTTCGCAGGACAAAATTTTCACAATATAACACGACTCGTGGAACAAATTAATTTCATCTTGCGAGGCATCACTGTATTCCACATTGCCAGCTTTCAATAAACTCACAGTTATGCTTCCGTGGAAATGTCTGTGCGAGGGAGATGTTTATGCTGTAGAGGAACCTTAGGGCCAAACCAGGTAGTACAGTTAACATGTCATTAGAAACAGAATGGTCTGAAGTGATAAAAGACCTTTGAATATCTTAGCTAGCGAGCTAGCCTTACTCCTCATTTTGCAAATTAGCTCGCTTTTGGTTTTTCATTGGTCACAGAGAGAAAAACAGGGACTCTACAAATCTGATTTTGCTTTACCTGCCTGAAAGGAAAACAGTAGCGGGGAAATAGACATTTTTCTTAACATATTTTTGATTCCATTACAGTCCCTTCTATGCATGTGTGTAATGCTCTAGGTAATCCTGATATAATTCTATGTCAGAACAATCTCTTTCTCTAAAGAGAAGGTTTGGTTTGTCAGAGAATATGTCTTCCTGAAAGAATTACTTTGATAACATTTCTTCTCCCCAGGAAACTCTGGGGCTTTTAAATAGTATTTTTATGTGAAAGCTTGTGACTCTGTTATGGATATAAGAGAACGTATAGATGTTTTTGGATGGCATCTCTGTGAATCTCAAACAGCTTTGGCAACGGTGAAGGATGATGGAAGTTGTAGTCAAACTATATCTGGGTATTAAGATATTAACCATTTCTGCTGCACCAGACTGCTCATTTCCTAAGCAGGCTTTAAGGTAGGATAATGGAGAAGAAGTGGTTAAATTAGCACTTGGAAAAGTTTGGAAAAGTTACTTTTTGGATCACAGCTCTGGAGTGGGGCACCCCTTGGTCGTGGTTTTTGTGCAATCCTTGTCTGATCCGGAGGAAGAGATCTTTGGCCTTCCAGACAGAGCTTGGAGAAGTAATCACTCTGTTGCAGTGTTTTGAATTTCTGGTTGCTTGTTGTTGTTGTTGTTGCTGCTACACAGTAGAAATACACAGAGGAAGATAGGCTACAAGTTCCCCAGAATCCAACCTTTTTCTCATTAACTGGCTCTTAAAGTCTCCCTAACTCACTCTGAGACAGTTGTAGGAGAAGGGATAAAAACATTTCTTACAGCTGCTTGAAATTAGATTTGTGCATGCTGCTTTCTTTACTGCACACATACTTAGCAACCAAAGTGAACAGATCAACAGCAAGCCGACGACTCCTACAAATCGAGGAGAGAGATGGAAGGGATGATTGGGTAGTGCTGGATAGATATAATTTATTTTATTTTATTTATTTGATTTATACCCCACCCATCTGGTATATTCTACCACTCTGGGTGGCTGATATAAAATCAGCTCAGCCCAGAAAAACTTCTTCCAGTCACACAGAGACCTGCAGCGCATCAGGTTGCAAATAAAACTCAAATGCACTTTCGAAATTACAGTTAAAAGTAAGAATTAAGTAAACCCATAAGCTTTCTTGACTGGTGCTCCTGATATTGGTCCTGGCTCACGCATGGCCAGGACATTTAGAAGTTGGAGTCTAATAAAATGTGGAAGTTGAAATTCCTACCCATCTGTAATTCCAACCTACTAGGTGGAAGTCAAAATGATGCAAGATTATTCAGACTAAGTTTGGACGGTGCTTGCACTCCTTCCATTGTTGCCTGCTCTGTATTTCCAGAACATGTCTTTTACCACAATATTTCTAGTTATATCATGTATATGTGTCATGCAAATATATGACACATATACGTGTGTCAAATATATGTGTCGTGCAAATATATTATTTCATTTCCGTGCCTCACATGTTTTCTTGTACCCGAATTGATGTTGGTGTAACGAATGCTCCATAAACCCAGGAATGATTGTTGATTCTCGTCGTTGATTTTCTTTCATGGCCCTGTGATGTTTTTGCCATGTCTGCAGAAAGGTATTGAGCTGCTTTATTTCTGCTGCATTACAGGATCATGTCAGAAAGCTGATGGGCCTTCTGTGAAACTGTTGTTTGCTCACATGTCTATATCTGGATGTCTGAATTGCTGGAAACCACGATGTGTCATCTTGATAAATGTTTCTTCTTCCTCATTCTTACCCTAGAAGAATAAACAGGAGTAGCAGGAGGAGGAGGAGAGCTTCAGAGGAGGACTGCAGGATGCTCTGTTGTCCTTGTTTGCCTCGGGAAGAACCTGAATGTCATTGTGCCTAGTAAAACAGAGCAGAACTTGGCAACTGAAACAAAGAGAAACAAGCGTAGAGTCGTGCTGTGTATAGAATACAGTGGTGCCTCACTAGACGATGATAATCCGTTCCACTGAAATTGCTGTTCAGCGAAATCATTGTCTAGCGAAAAGCATTTCCCTGTTGGAATGCATTGAAACCTGTTTAATGCATTCCAATGGGGAAGAATCGGCGTTGTCTAGTGAAGATCGGCCATAGGAAAGCTGCTTTGCGAACCGCCAATCAGCTGTTTAAATCGCTGTCTTGCGAAGCTTAGTCCTGAAAACACCTGTTTTGTGAGTGCGGAGGGAGCTGTCAAAATCGTCATTTAGCGAAAATTGGTTTGTGAAGCAGGGAC